TACATATGTTAGCAAATGATTAACCCAACCCACAAATTAGACCAGTGGTGGCCAACCCATGGTCATTGGACCAGAAGTAACCTGTGGGGCCATCAGAAAGTGGTCTGCCAAACATTCACATTCGTCTAGGTGAATCTGTTTTAAATTGTTTCCTATTTTTTCCTTGATTGCATAGTTCTTGATTTATGACATAAGAGGTTACCCACCACTCAATTAGACGCTCATGCCAACACCAAGCAATCCTAACTCATGTACAGGTTAATGCATGGTAACGCTGCCTATCCTCTGCCTGAACCTCAGAAGAACAATCCCAATTGTGTCAGCGTGGTATTTTCAATTTAAACCAGCCTTCCTATGATGTTTCTTGAGCGAGGTTATCAATTTAATGCCAAATTAAAATCATTTTGTGCTGTGAGACCACATGAAATTAGAACAGTCCAAACTCACTTCACGTAAGATTTTTCAGTTAACAGATAGAAATTGTTTTCTTCCTTTCAGTCTGAGCTGGGTAGAAATCCATATCACAGAGTTGAAAGCAGTGTCTCACTCATTGTGCTGCCCAGTCTCCCTATCTTTAAATGTTTCAAAACCATTTTCAATATACATGTTGCTTGCAAACGGTTAAATTGTAATACTAAAAATGTTACCCCAAGGAATGGCAAATTGAGGAACACAGGAACTAAAAAATAATAAGATGCAGTATGGATTTAAACTGAGAAGATAATAATTGTACAAGGCTTCTGAGATTTATTACCTCCATGTAACATTTGTTCATTTTATGTTTCCAGTGATCAGTGTATTGAATTTGAAGCTTATTATTAGCCAGAAGATTAATTTAGCAGTTTCATCAAAGCACTTATGATGTACATAATTCAAAGTAAAGCTTATGTTTTATCAAATTACTCCATTCTTGTGTTTTATGGATGACCTATCTTACTTTGATACTTCTAACCCAAGTTTTATCCTTTTCTTTTGAAAATACACATATATTTTTAACATATAATCAGCATATTCATATTTGAAAATTGAACCAACATATTAGCGGCAAGGATCAATAATATTTTTGGAGAGGTTGAAGGATGGGTGTCTTTTAGTGCAGTGGATGCTTTTGTTAACTCAGACCAGTTGAATTGTGTCAAAGTCTCCTTTCTCTGATGACAGGAATGGAGCTGAATGGAATGAGTTGAGTCAGTGTCATTCCACTCCATGCAGTCAGACTCCCCAGCAACAAATTGCGCATAATTCACCTCTTGATGTTACAGAACTGTGCCATCTCATTCAGAAAGTGCATAAGAGTAACTGATGTATTAAACCCAAATATCTTGCTCCTGTCGTGAGGAATGTTATTCTAAGATTGCCTTTAAGAAAACTTGCTGAGGAGGAACAAAGGGAAGTTCATGAGTGGAGGGAGTAGACAGGTTAATAGGTCAGAGATTTAGGAGGGAGCAAGGCCGTGGAGGGCCTTGAAAGTGAGGACGAGGATTTTGAATTCTGTCCTCTGAGAGATGGGGAGCCAGTGGAGCCGGGCGTGGGTGGGGGTGATCAGGTCACGGAGCCTGGTGCGGGAGAGGACACGAGCTTCAGATTCCTGGCTGATCGCAGCTTGTGGAGGGAAGGGTTGGGAAGACCAACAAGGAGGTAGTTTCAGTAGTGGAGCCATAAGGTGACAAATGCGTGCATAAGGGTCATGGCAGCCTGAGAGATAAGGCAGTAGTGGAGTCTGGCAATGTTGCGGAGGAGGGGGATGGCAGAATGGGTCGTGGCACAGATAATAATAATAATAATAATCCTTGCATTTGATATAGCGCTTTTCACGTCGGGAGGACGTCCCAAAGCGCTTCACAGAATACACTGTAAGGTGAATTGACTGTATATTTGTGGGCGAACGCGGCAGCCAATTGCGCACAGCAATGTCCCACAAACAGTCGTAGATTGAAAATGACCAATTTATTATTGTTTTGTTTTTGGAGGGATTATTATTAGGCGTGTGGTGTAAGGAAACTTGCCCAAGGTTTCGCCCTGCCTGGAATTGAACTCAGGTCTCTCGCTTGCAAAGCGAGCGCTCTAACCACTGAGCTACAGGACTCCACCTGTGGAGGAGAAAGGACAGTTGAGGGTCGAACAAGACCCCTAGCTTTCTAACTGACTTGGTGAGTGGAGTATGCAACCGTGGATGCTGATGCTGCCAGTGCCTGAGGTGTTGAGGCAAACCAATCAGGAGAGCCTCAGCTTTGTTGACATTCAGCTGTGATAAGTTGCCTCTGATCCAGGATTTGATGTCAGACAGAGAGTCTATAAGGACGTCAGTTGTCCTGGAATCAAGGGTGGAGGTAGAGATAGAGTTGGGTGTTATCTGTGTACATGTGGAAGTTGACTTCACCAAGGGGGAGCATGTACAGGTTGAAGAGGACAGAGCCCTGAGGAACACCACACAAGACTGTGCGGGGGCTGGAAGAGAAACCGTTGGCGGAGACAAATTGGAGACGGTGTGAGAGATAAGACCTGAACCATTCAAGGGCAGAACCTTGAAGATTGAGGTGAAAGGAGAGGCAGTGAATGAGAATGGAGTAGTCCGCGGTATCGAGGTAGCAGAGAGGTCAAGGAGGACAAGGAGGCAGAGGGAGCACTGGTCACAGATGGACAAAATGTCATTTGTCACCTTGACCAGAGCAGTTTCTCTGCTGTGAGCAGCACGGAAACCCGATTTGAGGGGCTCGTGAAGCAAGTAATAGGACAGGAATGAGCGAAGCAACAACTCTTTCAAGGACCTTCAAAAGAAAAGGGAGGTTGGAGATCGGCCGGTAGTTAGAAGGCAGGGACGGGTCCAGGGAAGGTTTTTTCAGGATGAGGGTGATTGTAGCTGTTTTAAGTGGGGTGGGAATGGTGCCAGCTAAAGGGAGAAATTGATGCTGTCGGAGAGCAGAGGGGCGAGGAGGTGGAGCTGGGAGGTAAGGAGAGAGTTGGGGATGGGGTCAAGGGAGCAGGTGGTGTGTTTCATGCTGCACATGGTAGTGATGAGAGAGGAAGGGGAGACAGGTTTGAAAATGTGGACACAACAACAGCTTGCATTTATATAGCGCCCTTCACACAGGGTAGCGTCTTGGAGCACTTCGCTTGGATGCTTGCACTGCGGGTGTTGCCATCATGTTGCCTGCTTATAAATTTCCTCCACATTATTCTGAGGGCATTGATTGTCCTGTGCTAGTGCATTTCCCTTGATGTTATTTAAATGGTTGCCCCGGAAGCTGGTAACTACAACCATTTGATCTTCCTTTAACACCACCCCCTGCTGCCATGCTGATCCCAGCATTTCAGTGCTGTTTAGGGAGTTTAGGTACTTTGCAGAAATTCAGCATCTCAGGAGCTTTAAAGATACAAGTTCTTTCCTCTTTCAATCTCCAGCAAACAACACCAACTGCTTACCATAGTACCACTGTTGAGAATTCCTCCTTTTATATAGAAAAATCAGCCCTATCCATAAACAATTTTAACAATTTGAACAGAATGGTTTGAAGAACAATGTATTGGAGAAAACAATGAACCATAATCAGAGAATCAATCCCCTTGGAGTTACTCTAATTATCATCAACCATCTGCAGTACTGATACTGATCAGCTCAAACGAACAAGTGGGACTGGAAGATCTGGCACTGATTGTACAGACTTCTGAAAAGAAGTCTCTGCCATTGAGACTATTCTCGAGTTTCCTTTGCCTACTGTTTTCTGAATGAAGAAATGTACAGCAGTAGTCCTGGGAACCAAAAGACAAATGTTTTCAACAGAATACCTTGCAGTGATAAATTACTGTCAGACATGCCTTTGAATTGTCCCGTCATTCCAATATTCAGAATGCTATGGTAACTTTTATATCCTGCAATTAAAATCTTTTGTGAGCGATTATTTTTCTGTTAAATCGATTTGTGGAATTTTATAACACTTTTTAAGCACTGAAGCAGTATTTTGCTCTCATTGTTGCCTCTGGAGTAATTTCATACAAGACCAGGAACCTCCATTACAACTTACTCCTTGGGAGACAAGTATCTTGCAACTCAAGAGTAAAATGGAAGAGGAGATGAAATTTGAGAGCCACAGTTCTGTAGCCCTGAAGTGGAATTGTTGTTTCAGTGAGGGAGCTCCAATCATTTCTTTCTTGTAGAAGACCAGGGCCATTTTTGGTCACTCTAATGTCATTCCAAGCATCACAATGGCAGTTATGAAAGGCAAATGAGATTTCCAGGATGCAAATGATCTCCTTGCACGGCGAGTGTTGCCATCATGTTGCGTGCTTATAAATTGCTTCATTTTCCCCTGAGGGCATAGATTGGCCTGTGCTGGTGCAGTTCTATTGGTGCTGGCAGGACCTTGCTCAATCTACCTTTATAACTTTATGAGGCTCCTAATTTTCTTTAAAACACTCTTTCCCAGCTCTGCTAAAATTACATACTGTGAATCAAATACTGCAGAATACTCCCAATTTATGGAACTGAGCCATTGACTCTGAATGAACTCCTGCATTTACTTTACTGACTAAATGCATTCGGCATAGCATACCAAAAATTCATGATTGATTAACCCACTCTCTACATGCTTTCCTGCCCTGTCCAAACTGAAACTATATTAAAACATGCTTCTCAGTATTTTGTGACAATTTAATCCAAGATCTTGTTTCTGCTTTCAGTGAAACTGCTCTTTCAACGAAAATCAAAACAATCTGATGTAAATCTTCTTCTTATACACCCAAATCATCAATCCAATATTGTATATTAGATGCTGTTTAACCTGCAGTGTATTAAAAGCAATTCCAGTTTTGTTTAAACCGGGTATTTTTTTCCTTATGCAAGGACAATCTTAAATTCAACAATTTCATCTGCTGTATTTTATTTAAATTGTGTCCAACTATTTTAAAGACCCTCTTAGAAAAACAGATTTCAGGAAATATAAGAAAAAAGGAAAATAATCTGAACCCCAGGCAAGTTTCCATAGGAAAAAAAGTCTTTTATTTAAGAACAATTTCAGTTTGTAACAGACTTATGGAATGTGATTTTCATTTCGTTTTTTTTGTACTGCAGGGCATGAACTGCAACGTGAAAACCCAACCAGCTAAAAACCATGACTAGAGAGAGCAAACAAAAAAAAGAAAGCAACATTCAATATTTATAAAGCAAGCATAATACTGTGTATACAAACTGGACAAAGAAACATTTAAATAAATATTCATGGCACAAATATGCAGCGGTCAATTTGGCAACGTTACCAATTTTTTTTAACCTCCATTTTAACAGTGCAAAGGGGAATGACACTGCCTCAAAAACAAGCTATAGCTAAAAATACATTGCAAAAAATTCTTAATTTTATACAAAACATCCTCCTTAGAATTTGTTTAAAAAAATCTTCTATTTACACAAAACATTTTACTTTAAGGAAAATTAGATCATGCTCTGCTGTGTATTTCTTTTACTAAAAAGGTGAATAAGGCTATTTTTAACTTCCCTCCCTCCCCCCAAAAAATCCAAGTACATTAAAGTATTCCACATATTTACAGCTTCTTCACAATTAGCGTCAGTTTCCGGTATGGTGCAAATTCTAAAGCCAGGTGACAGGGATTATCATATCTCCAAGGCATTTACAGTGACATTTTAGGAGTAAGATGAACCACAAGGGAACAGTTGACTTGTTTTCCTGACATGGGACACATAACTACTGCTTAGTTGTAAACCAGATATCACTGGAATTCTCACACTGGGCTTTTACAAAGTCTGAAACTGACCTGACATTGTCCAAATCCTGGTCCATAACCATGGCAGACTGGTTCAAAACTATAACCCAATTGGCCAGGAAATACATGAAGCATTTCACATGGAACAAACAGTTCCAACCTAACTGAGAAATGCCTCTGCAAACATGCCCCAAACTCTTCCTCTTCCTCTCTCTCCCCCTGCCTGTAGACTCACAAGACCATTTTGCACATGTAATGTACTTCATCACCATAGTAACCATCTAAGTATATGCATAATGTCTCATTCTCGTGTCCAGCGTAATTTTCAGGTTCAAGGAGTAGACAGAGTAACTGTTTTGTCGGGTCCCCAGTGGGATTTTTGAACCCAGCCATTTTACACAGCTATTACTGTGTGCTCTTTTAATTTCAGTCTCTAAGACATCAGTTTTGACAGCACCATGCAGTAGCTAATAACGCAACCTACACTGGAGGCCACCCCGGTGGTAAAGTCCATTTTAGACAGCAGATCCTGGTGTTAGGCTGCAACGTTTCTCATTTACCTGTATATAAAATAAGAAATCATTTTTGTTTAAAAAAAACTAGCCCGTGTGTAAACAAATGAAGGAAGGCCGAAACTAACCATGTGCTCTCTGCAGATATGATGTAGCACTGATTTCCCAGCTCTCACTGTCTCAGATTCGCATAATTCTCCTGCCATTTAAGAACTGTTAGGAGGACTCTATTTTTGTAAATGCTGCTCTATTTATTATTTTGGGAAACAGGATTCTGCTCCCAGAGGCAAATGTCCAACAGTTTTATGGCTGTGTTATGGCTGTCCACATAGTCTAATATTTCAAACATATTCACTGTTCTACTATGCATATATACAGAGAAGGTTTGATAACAAAATGTGAATCATAATAATCTGCTCTCCGGGCCTGCTGTTCGATCACTTACTGTTTTCTTCTCCCTAGTCTATGTTTAAATGTAGAGTGTCTTCTTTTTATGTCTCATGATCACTTCAAGAATATTACCTCAAAGGTCATTAAAGCAGCAGTGGTCTGCCAGCTACAGTAAGAAAAGCTGTACCGTGTAATACTCAGACTGCTCTACAGTCTATTCATACAAAGTATTAAGAGGATTCAAACTGTAAGGCAGCATATTTCCTTAGTGTGTCGCTACCAATGTCAAGCACTTCATAAACGAGTATCATCATCAGCCCTACTTGTGAATGTAGTCATCTGCCACTAGTGTGTACCCCTCCCTTTAATACATTAGTAAAGCACCATGCGGAAGGTGGGCCTTTTTTTGATTTTAACTCAGTTTTGCTCGGAATAATTCATCTAAAGTGCACCCCTACAGCATTGTGCTCAACACCATGTCTACAAGCCCTGCACCTTGGAACGGTCAATACGAAAGTGCTCCTAAATGATCTATATCCGTAGACTTCCTTTGCTAATTCAGAAGGCAGCAGCAAACAACTGCAAATGCATTTAAATCTGTGGGAACTCCTGGTCTCCTGTTCATTAGCGACTATTCAACATCTAGGTGGAGGATCCCCCCTGTGCATGTGGTATGACTGTCACTTCTGTGTGACTAATTAATGTGTGGCTGCTGAATGAAGTCAAACCATAGTGACCAGGATCTCTGATTATGGTTAATGTCGTGGCACATTTACAAAGATCCTAAAGGTGTCAGTGATGGTTTTGGAAGGCAAGAGTTGCCTTCAGGTTAACAGTAGAACTAGTGACAGAAATAAAAGTAACAAAGAATTGAGGGAAACAGGGAAAAAAATTATCAGCACAAGAGCAAAGACAGAAGTGGATTTATAAAATCCAGTCAATATAAAAGCTAACAGTTCAGGGAAAGTGGAGACTGACTATTTTCTATTGCTGAATATCCGAAGCGTGAAACTGTACTGGCTATAAATAGAGTGACGGATAGTTCAAACATCTCTTTGCTTCTTGCTTCCTGGTATGTTTTTAGCATATGGTCCAGAAATTAATGGTGAGAGTAAAGGGTGAAATAGTCTGGTTGAGTCCCTGACTCAACTGTCCTTCTGCTTACAGCTACGTGTTATTTTGCTTTCAGCAGATTCCTACACAGACCATTCGTGCTAACCAGCCCTTTCTTCAGCTGAATTTCTGCACAGCTTTTTTGTTCTTAATTCTCCTACGCTTCAAAGTCAATCCTGGTGCACAAAGAGTCACCACTAATTTCAGCAGAAGGCCCAAGTATGCAACAGACCAAGAATTCTCTTCAGTATCTCAAACTAGCCTCAGTCTTCTCCATTCAGACTTTGTAGTATATGTTCGCTGGGCTCTGTGGTGGCATCTCTTGCACTATATAGACAGGATGTCCATAGTCTCCACTGACTTTCTCGTAATGCGGGCAGAAGGCGCTGTCTGCAGTCCTTAGCGGAATGATAATGTCACTGGGCTCCGAGCCGTTGTTGTTGCCGCCCCGTTTGGGGGTGGCCAGTGTGCTAAGGGAAAGGGTGGCCGTGTGCTGCGGGGAGTGCTTTCTGTGCCGCCTCTTGTACTTCAGCAGAAGAACCACTAACATGATGATGATTATGATGAAAATTACGCAGCCTGATCCGATGCCTGTAAACAAGGCCACGTCGTTACTGAAGATCTTACCCCCGCCTGAATCGTTCGGAGGCAATGAGGGTTTATTGATGACAGTCATTGACTTTGTCCCACCTAAAAGCAAAGAGGATTTGTTAGAATAAACCAACCACAACCAAGCTAACAAAAGCAATAAAGGCCTTTACAATAATCTATCAAAGCACCATTTCTCTTGAAGGATTAAGGGTTTCTAGTTTTAAAAAAAATCGACTTTTTATTAAGGAACAGAATCTAAGACAAATCAAGCTGTAGGATTTTAGAGCGCTCATTTTGATATATTATAAACTAACGAGCCAGCCATCTCTATACACTCGGGCTGATTTATTGAGGCCATTCAACATGTTACTGGAGGAAAATGACTTCAAAGAAAGTAAATCAGCATTAAATAAATACAAAATGATTATGTGACATTTCTTGTAATACACTGATTGGCCCTGAACAAACTCTTGGACAGGAGGGGATGAATGAAATGATACGGCACCTTCAATAAAAGGATTGGCTTTGACACACAAATTTATCTATTGGTTAACCAGTACAAGTGGTCGTAGTCATCAATGAATATTTAAAGTGACATCTGCTTATAGGCTACTCTTTGACCACTTTTTCTTTAATAAATCTTCGTCAGACACTAGCTCAGAATGCATATGACAGCTTCACTTAAAACAGATGCAAACCCGCCTGGGGCTGCAGCAAAGAAAGTAAGAAAATGCAAATTTGCAAGACAATTATCCCCAGTCATAGCGACTGGTTGAAGCCCTCTGCTGAATGTATTAGGTCTTCCTTGCACCTAGAAACAAGCCACACCATTCACTCAGAAATGAAGCGATATTCCTGAGCATTTTTTTTAAACTCATGAGCCATGCTGTATTTATGCAGCTTACAATTTCATATCCGACTGACCATAAAATTAATTTACATGGCAATCTCTCCTTCCCAAATCCAAACTTCACATACTGCAATGAAGTTTATCTAAAAAGGCTTGGTAGATCCTGTTGCCCAGAATTTTTGATTTTCTCCCAGACTCGAACTACCACAACCTCCCCCCACTCCCCCGAGTCTATATTTTATCTTGGCGGGAGGGCAATTTTCCAGCAAATATTTTCTTAATTTCCCTTCTATAGATCTCTTAGAGCTTGGCCGTGTGCCATGGGTTCTAAGACAGTTATGTAACCTGGCTCCAGGCCACATCCAATACCACTCTGTGACCAGCTGGCAGGAGGTGCATGAGACGGGCCCAAGGGTTGCTTGCCCTCTGATGTTCCCTCCCTGTGAGGTAAGGACTGACATGAACAAATACTCCATGGGACACAATCTCTGTACTGCTGGGACAAGGCTGGGGGAGATGGGGATGTTGTTTGTGGAGTTTTGCTCAATCAACTTCAGAGATCTGTTAGTGAGTATGCAGATTTCCCCACTCGAGAGAATGAGTGGGGTAGAGTCCATTATAAAGAGGCATTACAAAGTTGATGAAGAAATAGGCTTAATGGACCAAATGGTCTTCCACCATTCTGTCTGCCATCCTCCTTCTAAGATCAGGATCACTGTGGGTGAACTTGCAAGGAAAAAGCAACGGTGCACTTTTTCTTAGTACATGGTGCTTAAGCTTCTTCTGCTTATTTCAGCTTATTATTCAAACTGTAGAATTGTAACAGCCAAGAGGCTACTGGAACTTGAAGCCATTGTTTGCTTATGGTTCCTCTTGTGGAATAATAATTGGCAACTTGTGCATTGTCAGACAGACAGTGCAGTCAGTTAATGAGGTACCAGCAGAAAACCAATAAAGGCACACAATTGTGTTGCTGGAGTGGAGCATACAAAAAAAATGAATAAAATGGATTTGCAGTGAGAAATGAGAGCAATCCTGAGAAAAGCTTGCCCCTATTCTCATTAATAACATGACTAGAAAAATGGATTTAACAGTACATGTTTTTGATCTTATATCTGCTCAACACTCGCATCTGCTACACAGATATTAAACACATGCTGGTGCTCTGGTTTGTCACAGAAATTATGGTATTACTCACAAACGCAGATAATTTACTGGTTGACCAATTATTTAAAGCAAGTTCAGGGGGTCTGCCACATCCAAAACACAGATTTCGATCCTCAAAATAATAAAACAGGTTGCCGTGGGGATTCGTGGCTTGAAAATCGCAACACATGCACCTAGCACTCACTTTTGCCACTTGAACAATTGACAAGACAAAGACAGCAAAATGAGCCCTTCTGAAACAAATTGCGATTAGCAAGCCAATAATAGACTCTCTCCATGCTCAGGCAGAGCATGGCATGCTAATAGAACAATGAAATTCATCACATTTACATAAGACTCCTTGCAAAAATCAGCTGAGAGCTATCCTGAGGAAGAAACGGAGGAAGAAATTAAAGGATGAGACAGTGCATAGAAACTATCATTAGCTAACAAACATCTGGAATCAATATTATCCAAGACCCGCTAAGAAACAAATTAGACCATTACTAGCTAGCATTTAGTCTAGCTGTATCACGGATGCACATTACTGCTCACTTTCCAACAAAGGCAGAAAGAAAGAGAATATTTTTTTAATAAAAGGATTAGGAGCAAAGGAGCTGGTCAATTTTCGATGAGCAGCAAGTAACAAAGCTGATTCAAAGTAGAGGAAGAACTGCAGTGATTGTAACCAATTTCTAAATGCTGCGAAAACATGATCCTGACAATGTTTAAGACCAGAAGTTTTCTCTTTTATGAGGACGGAGGAACCCTATTGATTTTCATGTCCCTAGTTTAGGTTTGTTAAAAAAAACCATTGCAAAACATAATTTTGTTTCTAATTTAAGATGCACTGAGCAGTAAGAAAGGTGCCTATTTTAAACTTCTTGATCACCCACACATTTCATGCCTCACCTCCATTGCTTCATGTTGAAAGGACCTGATTACTTCATTAAGGCGCTTTTCTGCAGCCTCAGATCTTGGATCAACCCGAATCAGCCTATTCTGAAAGATCAGCTGTGTTGCAGAAGTTCAGACTTCGGCAAATTGTATAAAATATTTATTCCTAGATGGTTTAACTTTGTGTTAATACTGCTTAAAACAGAGCGAATACAATTAGGAACTCGTAAGACACAGAGAGCCTGTGGTTCAGCTTTGCAGGATACGAGGGTGCACATGGACAATGAGAATCACTCACATATTCAGTCCACATATCCTATGTGGCTATGGAACCTTTTTATCTTATAAACGTGAGTAGCAATTTCATTGCCCACATGATTAGAATTTCACACACGTGTGAAAAAGAAGCAAACTGTCAGAAGCAGTGACCGGTTGCAGCTCATATAAAGATCCACTCAAGAATCTAGTGAGAGTGAGGCTCAGATAGAATAAAAAGAATCTCTTCCTAGATACAAGGTCTTCCAGCTATTTGCTGACTCATGTCAAAGACCCTCGTGTCTTGCTTGCATCCTCAGTGCAGCAGTTATTATGGGTCTTTCCGGCATATGAAAGGAGCACCACAAAGGCAGGTTACGGTGAGGAATCCTCAAGTTAATCAGCTCTACTAGATGGTTACCTTCATTCACGTTCTTTTGGGTGGGCTTGTTTGTGGTGCCATCCCGATCTTTTCCAGGAGCTCTGGTTGTAGTTTCTTTTGGTCCCACATAACTTGGATCTAAAAAGTTTTTAAAAAGGGTGTTTGAGTTACAAACCGTCACTCTAAGATATCTTCACCATCCAGATAAAGGGACATCCCTGAGCACTGATGATTTACTTCATGGACAAAACACTGAGGCTATGTTTGGATCAAAGTCTGTTGCCTTCATTCAGCTTCATTGGTTTAACATTGCACAAGTCATTTTGATGAACTTTAAATAATCTTTATAAATGGGTTGACAATAACTCCTATTTTTCTTTTAAAAACACAATCAGTGAAACAATGGTTCCGTGTTAAGTGTAAGCTCTGCATTTTGCTGCTGTTTAAATCTGAGTGGTCGGTATTTCATTTAAATTCCTGGTTACTTTGTAATATAACAAATGTGATTAAAAGCCATCACTAAAGCTCTGCTTGGTTATTTATCAGGTTTGCAGAGCATTGCCTTTTATCTGGTATCCTTGGCAGAGAGATAACAGCCTTCTAACTGGAACCTACCTAACGCTAAATCGGATGGTACTGCAAACATGGCAGACTTGACCACTCAGACATTAGGACCATCTGCAGCAGCCGTAGGGAAGCCTACAACTGGCAGGCGAGAGTTTGGCAAATGACATTTCAATCAAATAAATCAAGCCGACAGATTGTTCAACTGACTTTACGCCAATGTAGAAAGTAAACATAATGAGTTTTCACTTAGTAAACTCCAGTCAGTCACTGCTTCAAAAATACAAGGGAGTACTTTGACGTCAACACAGATTACATTTCAAAATTGAAATGGTGTTAAATGAAACAGAGTTAATTTCCTTTTACTTTCAACTAATGGCATTACAAGGAAAGGAATAATCTATTAAGGGTTCTCTCATTTGATAATAACCATATTAAAAACGGTAACCAGAATAAGCCTCCAGTCTTGAGAAAAAAATCTGTTTCTTATTAAACCAATATTATGAAAAATACAGATAAGCAGAAGCCTGCATTGTCTAATTACTGTGGGATTTTGTATCTGAATTTGGAACTGTTAATTCAATTTTTCAAAGCACAAGATAACTGAACACTACATTGTGATTCTTTCCATGATTTAAAAACATGCAAGCTTAAGTCTTGCCTTGGCCTCCACAACCTTTAAGGAGGACCGCAGTCAGATTATTTTAATTAATTTTAAGCACAATGAATGAGATTGAATTTAGGACAAGCTTTTGCATTACTTCTAATCCTTTTATATAACAGTGATGATACATAGAACTGCAGAACATGACTGGACCAGACAAGATGGTCAACGTTCCTCAAATCGAAACCTGCAAAGAATGTGCTGATTTTCACAGTAATGAAGAGAATTCATTACTGTGAGAATTGGCACTAATTGTTATAATGTCCTTCTTGATTAAGAGCAGCTTATAGCTAAGTGGGAGACAGAGACGATCGGTTTTGAATCCAATAAACAGCAGATGGCCCTTACCTTGTCCAACTTTCACAATAAGTTTCATGGCTTTGGTTTGACATACTCCTCCTTCACGGTTATCCAGGCCTTCTTTAGACCCATTTGATGTTGCTGAAACACACAATATTTAAAAATGTGAAAACTCAAATTCATCTCAACAAACATCTCCCAAGGGATATTTCTATTATCTGAACAGAATTTGTGAATAAATAAAATACACAGACAAGTGATAATTCAGACAAATAAGTATATATATATATATTCAATCCATTAATTTCCTCCACCTCCCATGCACTTAAGGTAACATAGCAACTTATCAGCTATTGAAATCAAATCTTCTAAAAGACAGGGAACGATAAGCCTGTAACATAGCACCACGTCAACAGGGTTCAAGAATAGTGGAGACATATAACATTTAGATGGAAAAATCAATAGCATGAAGTGATTCTGTGTGTAAATCATGTCTGTCAATGTTGGAAGTGTTTTTATGGCCTATTAGACTACAACAGCAAGGACATCACTGTTAATCTAACAGCAACCATGTGCAGAGTGGCAAGCACAGGGGGATTGGAATGGCTAATAAAGATATTATCTGGTCATTTGGTTACAGGTGTACTTTTACAAATAGCAGTATAAAATTCAACTTTGGAACTAATTTAATCCCATCCAAATATAAGTAGCTCTTTGTTTATTCTGGTAAATGCTCATTATTTATCACAACGCGATCAGATTGTATTTCAGTCCTTAGAATTTTACTAATAAAATGCTTGAGGTAAGGGTAACCTGGTAAACTAGACTTTGGTTTCCCATTGAGAGCCTCTAAAGACAACAATTGGAATGTAGGAACGTAGGAGTGTAACACCGAGCACTGCAATGTTAATGAAAAAAGCTAACAGAAGCATGAAACCTACTACACAACAATTATTTAAAGAGAATGACTATTATGTAATTCAACTAAGAGTTCTTTCCCCATGTATGAGGTATTTTTTTAAAAATCTTTTATAAAATGGTGAGTATGGATGATTTCACTGGGGTTGTGGTGAAGGAAATCATATTAGTTGCTGAGCGTGTCAGTGTGAGGCGTCGATGAATTAATGTACACAGTTGAAATGATAAGTTCACTTAAGTACTGGGGTTAATATGTATATCTGCTGATGTTAATTCACCTCCCTTTCAATCCAGCAGCTCCTTCAAGTCATCTACTGTTCATTGTTTGAAAAAATACATAAAGACTGGAGAAACACAATCCAGAGTTTCTTTTAACTTTGGATTTTAAATAGAGAATCAATTCTATTTCCTTTTTAACCGCCTGTAAGAGGCACACAAACATACAAATGTAACAAAATGACAGACTCCATCAAAGTGTTAATTGCACCTTCTAATATGGAACAAGCCCAAAAATTATCCCACATATAAAGAGATACATTACTCCCCAATGTGGGGGATCCCTGCCAATGCTGCCAACCCCTGCCAATATGGACAGAGGGTAAAAGCTGGATTCAGAGGTACTGGGACATCTACAGCAGGTTGGAAGGGATAAGCTCTTAATTGAGGCCAGTTGTGAGAGGTTGATTAATTAACTGAGCCACTCTCGGGCTCCTCTAAGAATGTGACCGCAAGAACCTCAATTAAGATTTAATGACAAAAACTCATTTCCAGCATTCTCCCACAGACCTTGACAGAAAGAGCTCCCTGCAGCAATACAAAAGAATGCAAGAACCACAGTTTTGATGGAACACCTTGCAACAGAACTCATTAACAAGAGGAAAAATAAGGAAAGCTGACAAGCAATGCAATTCAGACAATTTGCGTTCCTCACTCATTTTGAAAGCCAATTTCTATCTATTCACGATTCTTGAGCTATCCCCTCTCCACCTGCTTTATATTTTAATTAATTCTAATTGTTTCCTCACAATTTGACAGTAGATCTCAAAATACAGTCAATCCCACCTCCTTTCATGCTGGCTTAAGTTTACAGAGCTGATAATAAATCCAACGCAACAGTCACTCTTCCACACACATACATACTGATTGTGAAATGGGCATCAGGCAGTACACAAAGTTATGAATCAGCTCAGACTGCCTGCATGCAGAGAGACAATCCCAACAGGGTCATCTGAGAACTTGGCCATTTTGATTTAAGAAGCTATTTTGTTTTGCAATACATTGATTGTATGTGACTTGTTTTATATGCACTGAAATATTCCTTTGTGAAGGCACAATATAACATGTCCAAGTGTTTTTNACAGAATAATAGCAATTTGCATATCCAGCACTAGCACTTAGAAAGGCACAGCTCTTTTAAATTTATTTCTGTTAAAACGTTTAGTTTCTCAGTCTGTTTTCAATCTGAACTTTAGGGAGGGCTTTCAAAGCACATTACGAGTTTAAACCACAAGGCAGATAAAGAATTAACAGTGTTGTCTGAAGGTATTCTGACAGACCTTGCTGGAACCACATCACAATACTATGCCTACGTAATTAATCTGACAATTGGCCAAGGATACTTGAGAAAACTATTTAAAAAATTCATTCGAGCTGTCAAACTATTATCTCACATCCCACTACATAGGGAATTAGCCTGTAAACAAAGCTTCCGCTTGCAAAGCCCAGTTTTTGGTAAAAGAGAGAAATCAGCTGGTGAAGCTCAGGATACCAGAGCATCGTTCCATTAGTACCTGTTGAAAGCTGTGTGTGTAAGTCAAACACAGAAGCAAATGCAAAGTATTCTCAACAGACTGCAGCTGTCTGAGACACTGATCAATGAGCAAACATGAGCTGCACCCCCCCTTTTGAAGTTGTTTTTAAAACTTGAGGATACCTTTGAACTGCAAACTCTCACATGTCCACTATTTACCATATCACATTGTTTGGAATAAGATTTGAAAATAAATGGAGCAAATAAATACTCTTGTGTTTTGGGGTTTTGAATATCTATGCTTCCATGGTATTTATCTGTATGAGGTAGCACTTTACAACGACCGAGTAATCAGAATCCACAGAGATTGTAGAAGTTACAGGATGAATCCGTAGTTTACAGTTTGCATTATTCTTATCATCAAAATGAACTAAATGCAGTGATTACTTTTACTCCCTTAAATTACTGTTCCCATGAGTGCTATGGACTCACGCCAATGCAACAGTAGAAAATAGCAGATGAATGCTAGCTCATGGTATTGTTCAAGTCCAAAGTAATGACACAAAATAGTCGATTTGCAGAATTTTGAAGGTTCAAGATTTAACCCTTCAGCTAACCAAATTTCAATAGATTTTCATGGGAGATGGGGGATAAGGGTAAGAGATAATAATTTGCAGGAAAATTGGCGTTTACTTTTTTTAAAGGTAATCGATGCACCAAATCTACTGTAATAATTTATGAAGGGAAGTGGAATTGGATGGCAATAGCTTGCAACTATAGATTGAAGGTAATCTGACAGGCAATAGACAAGGCTACAGCTGAATCTAACAGTCTGAATCATGACTACATTAAAGCAGCAGGGTTCAATGGGCTACTCTTAGGCATGCTGCAAGTAACCTAAACTGATAACAGCTAATTCTGCTTTTGCTCGTGTGTTTTATGTCTTCACTTTTTCTTTCATGCTGATAGTCATGCACATGAGGAATGAATAACAATGAAGAAAAACGACCAAAATTTTCATTTGGTGAGAGGGGTGGGGGGAATAATTTACATTAAAATGACAGAAAGAAGAATATCAACACTGGCTGCTTAATATTTATCTGTATGGTGCACCTGTCAGAAAAACAGAACTATAACTGCTTCTACACGCTTCTCATCGAGGTATTCACAATTTTAAACAAGGCAGACAACATGAATTAATGAGTAAAAGAGGAGTGAAGTTGTACAAGCATAGCTTCTGGATGGTTATTTCTCAATTCCAGGAGGGGAAGTAATATTACATTTTAATATATCATGATTATACCACATTCCCAGGCGTCGGCTTTGGTTACATGTACCCTGGATCCTGACCAGCTCTGGTCTATCAGGTCAGTTACACTGCTTTAATCAGATGATGAACTAAGCTGCTGGATTTGTGCCTATATCATAGTTTTCATTTCGCAGTGATTAGAGTAGTAACAGATGCAAACTGCCTCATCCTCCAATAGCCCTGATTATTGGAGTCAATCCCTGAGCAGGTGATGCTCTTGACTTTTTCTGTTTGACTCGCATCAACAGCATTTTGTACTCTCGTTTATACTTTACCAAAATACATTGTAAACTAGTATCTAATTCCAAATAACTTGAATGGTCAATTTAGGAAAATGACTTCAACAACCCCTATTTTAGATTTATTAATTTGTTTTTGTTTTTAAATAAATGGATGATTAGACACATTAATGAGCATGAATGAATTATTGCCTGAAACAAAAGCAGAAAATTGTAATTCTCTTTCATTAAAAAAACTCAGTAGTTTTATCCAGCTCAGATCATTTACAACATAAAAAGTCTTAATCTACAGGAGAAAGAAATGAATAATCAACTGAAATGTTTAGCACAACAAAAGATTTATGTTTTTATTATAATAAATTTGCAAGTGACTGTCTGGTAAGTAGGCATGCAGTAATTATCCTATTTTTAACTCTAATTTGCTCAAGTCAATTCTCTGCTGACACTATGTATGGAACAGAGTCTGTACAACGTTAACATTTATCAGAAAAGTGAAAGTGCACTCAACCCAGACGTTCAGAAATCCTTGCTCAACTGTGGTGATCTGAAGCTGGTACTTGATCCTTTGTTCCCATACAGGATTATGGAGCACATGGTCTCATTTTAAAAGAAAATCCACTGGCAAAGCACAAGACAATTCAGAAGCCAGATGGTTGAAAGTAGCACCCATAGTTGTACGGTATAAAATACAACTCGATGCTTTACTCATAGGTTCTCTGTGAAGGCCCTCTATATATATCTGTCAAACTCTTTCCCCTTAAGTACTGAATATTGATATCATGAAATATATCCTCATCTCAAAGTAGGGGAACCTGATAGAGGTTATTTTTTTTTGGTCATCCATGACACGAGGAAACCCATCACCATGTTTAAGATCATCAAAATGGACAGAGTCCCACATATGTATGTATGGCACCTACACATG